TAACTGTAATTTTGCTACTGTTATGAATCATAATATAAATATCTGATATGCAGGATGTATTTTCATTGTTACAAATTGAACATAATTAAAGCATAGTGATTCATCACAATATATAATTATATATTGTGATATATTTGTGTGTTTTCCAATAGTCTTAGGCGACTCCTATGAAAGGGTCGTTTGACCACATCAGGGGTCACGACCCCCAGGTTGAGAACCCTTGCGTCTAACTCTAGGCCCTCAACATCTTGTTGTGGAGGGGCTGCTGAACTCGCTCCTCCCTTCCTCTTCCAATTCCTCTCTCTGTCTGCTTCTGAGGCAACTCATCAACCGTCACAGCCCAAAATCACGAGACACCCAGGTGCCTTCCAAAGGTGTTCTACTGCCTGAACTGTTCTAGCTGGCTTTCAATTCCTTTGAGTCTATGCCTAGCAGTGGCATGGCTGCTAATATAGTAGTCATAGACCTGATATCTGAGGACCTGCCAAACCCTAACACAACAGCTAACGATGTCATTATAAGTCATAAGATCCTATCCCTCCTCTGTATATCCTACAATGGCTACCAGCTCCCGCAGAGCAGATGGTCCACCGAGCCCTCCATGGCTTGGTGCCTCCTTGCTTTTCTGACCTCCTGTCCCAATATGTTCCTTGTTATTGTCTCAACCAAAGCCATAGTTGTGTCCTGGTCACTGTTCAAATAAACCAGGTTCACTTCAACCTCAGGGTCTGTTCTAGACCCATTCCTCTCCCTGAAGCTTTTGTTCTCCAGATACCTACCTGGCTGACTGCCGACCCTCCTTCAAATCTCATTCAGTGGCCATCCTTTCTACGACTCTAGTCTACCTCGTGGCACTCCATCTCACAAGGCTGCGGGAAAGGTGTCAGCCAGGACTGTGGTCTCATCAGCTGTTCTACTGAAGGCAGGTGCCCTTCCTCACTCCGCTAGGTTGTAGGTGGAGTCCGTCTCCTGTGGGTAGAGGACTGAGGTGACTTGCTGGCTCCCAGTTCCTAGAGGCCACGCACAGACTCCTGCCTCCTGTGGCCCTCTCCACTAGCCCTCTCAGAACATAGCCGTTCACATCTGCAAAGCCAGCAGGGAGTCTCTCAGCTGCAAGATGAAAGGAATCACAGGAATGACATCTCCTCACCTTTGCCCGGGGAGCAACACGCGGAACTGCTAACCACAACATCAACAGTTCAAAACACCAGCTGCTCCTTGGGAGAAAGGTGAAGCTTTTTACTCCCATGGTTAATGTTGAGAAATTTCTTCTTTGGCTTTTTAAAT